CCCCCCCAGATGTTTCTCCAGCTCCCCCAGCTGTACCCCAGCCCCCCCAGATGTTTCTCCAGCCCCCCCAGATGTGCCCCAAATTCCCCCAGATGTGCCCCAAACCCCCCCAGATGTTTCTCCAGCCCCCCCAGACTCACGGCCTGGGCGAGGGGTCCCCAGTGCAGGGCCCGGGCCAGGCCCCGGCCGGGGGCGGGGGCGGTGTCAGCCCCCCAGTCCGTGATGGCCCCGAACGACCCCGTCACCGTCACCCAGCCGGCCTGGGGGGGGCAGGGGGAAACGGGGCTGAGACCCCCCCTAAGGAGGGGAAAATGGGGAGGGGGGGGGGTCTCTGCCCCTCTGAGGGGGTTTTAGGGGGGTCTGTCTCTCTCTCCCCGGCCTCACCTGGGGGTCCCCGGGCTCGCCCAGGGGGGGCTCTCCCGGTGCCCCCCCCTGCAGCACGGCCCCGGTGTAGCCGGGGGGCAGCGGCAGCTCCCGGCCCCCCAAGCGGCGCCCCCGGAACGAGGCCCAGAGCTCTGGGGGGGAGCAAAGGGAGGCGGGCTGGGACCCCCACACCTGCCTGGGACCCCCCAGAACCCCCCCAAACCCAGCGCGCCCCCATCGCCACAGCCCCCCAGTGACCCGCGGACCCCCTCCCCGAGCTCCCCAAGAGCCCCCAACCCCAAAATCCCTCCCAAACCCAATCCCGCCCCCCCACCAAATGCAGCATCTCCCTCAGGATCGCCCCCCAAACACCCCCACCCCCCCCCCCCCCGCCCCCCCCGGTCCCTCACCGCCGCCGGGACCGGGCCGGGCCCGCAGGAAGGCGGCCACGGGCGCGGGCCCGTCGTGCTGGACGCGGCAGGGCAGGAGCTGAGCGCGGAGCGGCTCCGGAGCGGCCCCGGGGGGAACCCGGACCCGCACCGCCATCACCGCGGGGGGGGTGGAGGTGGAAGGAGGAAGTGACGTCATGAGGCGCCGGAAGCGGCATGGAGGCATCCATGGAGGGAACGGACATGGCGGCGCCCACGTGGAGGAAAGATGGCGGCACCGTATGGAAGTGACAGCGAGGCGCAAGGGATGATGGGAGATGTAGTTCGGGGTCGGGGGGGCTTTCTGAGACACCCCCACCCCGCCCAGAGCTCCCGGGACACCCCGAACCCTTTGGGACCCCCCCCAGGCACCCAGAGACCCCCACCCGTCCCTTCCCGGTCATGCGGGACCCCCGGAGCCCCCCGCGACCCCCCCAGACCCCCCTCAGACAGAGCCGGACACGGATTTTGCACTTTCCAAGTTCTTGGGGGGGGGGTCACAGAACCCGGGGTGGGGGTGACACGTCACGACATGTCACGAGACAGCCCGACATGTCACGAGACAGCCCGACATGTCACGACAGAGCCCGACATGTCACGACAGAACCCGACACGCCTCGTGGTGCCGCCACGGTCCAGCACGTCTCGTCCCGACGCGCCCCGTACTCCCCCCGACGTGTCGCGACAAGGCCCCCGCCCTGTCGCGACATCTCAGGCCCCGCCCTCCCCCCGCAGCAGCCGCGCGAGCAGCAGGACCCCCCCCCAGCGCTGCCCCCGCACCCCCCCCTCCCCCCC